CCTTGCTTCCTTCCCTGTCTCGTTGTTCATCTTTGTTTTTATCCAGAAATTCAACTTTGGTAACATAAGATTCCTTTACAAAAGATAATCTATACTTATTTAATACGCAAGCACGATTTTTGTGACAATTACTCCTCCGAAACAACTGTACCGATTGACATGTTTTTGGTGTCATTGGAAAGAGCGTAACGTGAAGTTGTGCAGGAAACCTTCTTTTTAAGGAAATAATTAGAGAGTGAGGCCCTGGGACCCTTTAAAGTTTTGTATTTCTCCATAAGGATAACAAGGGAGATAATTTTTATTTACAGAAACATATGTTTGTTACTTGAAAATAGTCAAAGTCTACTACATAATAATTAATGTGTATCATGACTGTTAATATACTACATTTCAATCAAGGATTGTGTGTGACCATAGATAAAACGTACTCCCTTAGTAGATTTCTCATCCTAATGGAACAGCTGAAGACAATTTTATTGTTAGTTCTGTACGGTTTATGTTAGAGGTCGTGTTTTGTTTACAATTTGTTTCCCGTTAATACAGTCATTTAAAACCTCATTTAACCAAATAATACGATCTAATCATAAACAATAAATTGTCCCCTAGTTATTTAACCAAACAGTAAAGCACAAATCAAGAAATTAACCCTAAAATAATAGAAACAAAATTTCGTCGGCATTAGCACCCAGTGTGGCATACATGAACTAGACATGAAAAACGAGCTTCAAAATTTACAATGGGATGAGAAGTCTACTTGTGTTGGTTAGTCTATGGTGTGACTTAAACTTTACTCATAATGGATCTCACTACTTTATTTTCATGCTGGGAATAGTAAAATTTAGTTGAGAATAAGTTACCATATTTAGAAAACTTTACTATAATAATTGATGTATTTAAAATTACAAATCTTTGACATTATTAATTCATTAGAAACGAAACAGCTGATCGAGAAATCAAACAAACCATCTACTTCATGTGAATAATGGTTTTACACATAGTTTTTTTTTTTACTAATAACTTGATTCTTTTTTACTTGTGGGTGTATTTTGAGTTTGCAGTTATGAAAGCACCAAGCCAAGTACCTTTTATCTAATTTTCTTCTAATTTTAAACAGTATTAATGAATTACTACATGAACTTTACAAGTTAGGTAATTAATTGTCAGTATGCCAAGGGGAAGAGTGGGTCCTCGAAAACAGTCGAAGGCAGAGGCACCCATCTAGAATATCCAACTGAGTTTTAAAATATAGAGGTTAGTGGATTGCCAAGACACAGATTATACTAATAAAAGGAGGCAGTGGTTTTATTGATATTAATACATCAAAAAGGGCCTCATTAATGGCACAAGGCTTCATGTGATCAGAACGATTAACAACAATGTAAAGTCCTAACATGGTACAAGTGAGTAAGGACATATTTTGATTTCGAGGATAAAAAATTTGCCCGTCTGAAACAAAGTTACCTTTTATAATGGAAAGATAGTAATTTGTTATCTTTGGCATTTGCAGCACAAGCACTTTAATTAAAGAACAGCAATGTTTGTAGCCAGACCAATTTCAGTATTGAGCAACTATATATATATATATATGTTGTTTTAAGTAAGGCTACATCTTTTAATAGTAGGATAAGCATTTTCATTACGGAAAATTCTGACCAGGGTAATATTCCTGAAGGTAACTTTAAGACTAAAATCATATTATTTATGGAAGTGCTTTTGTGAAAAAAATATTGTTTTTTAGTGTTTATTTTTAAAAGTGTTTTCTTCAAGCAGCATTTTATGACCCTCAAAATATGCTACATAGTATATGCTACATTCACTGCCTATTGGTTTGATATGATAAAATGTTTTGTTAAATGTGTTTTAAAAATCTTAAAAAAATAACTACCCTGTAACATACTTGAACTTTAACACTTATTAATTTACTAAATATAATACGCATACAGCTAGAAAATGGCTGGATTGCTTCCCTTCTAATGCTTTATTATTACTGTATTTAATTTTCAACGAGTCAATATATATAACACGATGTTGTTTTCTAAATTCATATGTTTTTGCGGGGCATTGAGCCGCACAGGTTCACTAGTAATTCTAATTCCTCCAACAGAGTTTCAATTCTAAATTTCCAATTGCTGAAATTGGTTCCATCAAACGATGGTATTCGATACTTTTCATGTTCAGTTGCCATATTAGCAATTCATTCAATTTGATTATCCAGGTAAAAAAATATTAAGAAATTCCGTATTTAAACAGCCCTGGGCCCATAACCTGTAAATATGTGGTTTCCCTGGACACTAAATTAAAATACCTAGCTCAATTAAATAAAAGGGCAAACTGAATTATTAAACTCAACACTTTTAATTCAACCAACTAAAGAAGACATAGATTTTACTATTATTGTTTTTAACAACACATTTAACAATTTAACCATCTGGTATTCATCAATGAAGTATAACATTAAAAACAGACATGTGGCAAATATTAAATTGCACTCAACACTAAGTAATAATGGACAGTCGTTAAGATCAGATGACTGAGAGACTTATTATTTGCTGATGAAGAAAATGTTGAAGATCCTGATATTTATTATGGATCAGACCATGAAAGCAATGTAAAGTGTTTTGTAAAACTTGTTTGAACAATCCAGGACTTCATATGGGTGAATGTTTTGAAAAATATCACTAAGAGAAAAATATCAAAGAAGATTAAAAGAGAACTTTCAACTTATTGTTTGTATGAGTGACAAATATACGTACATTTTCCAGGTTTAGTAAATACGTAAGTTATATCACTTTACATTTTCTGGCCAGTGCATCGTAATCATGAAACTAGACGATTACAACAACAAAGTCTTAGATTTTATTAATAACAATAACATCAAAGAATTACCTAAAGACCCAACTGACCTTTTCCACACTAAACTCAAAACTGCCATAAACAAAACTCAACACATCTTCAACGGGGACCGATGCAACTACCTCAAAATGATCAAACCCAAAGCGCCAGTATTGAGGGGATTACCTAAAATACACAAAGACACCATGCCGATACGACCACTTGTAAACTTCACCTCTGCACCATCCTACAAACCCGCAAAAGCTCTAGATAGAATACTTAGAAACAACATCAAATTGAAGAATAACCATAGCCTTAAAAATAGTCTAGAGTTAATAGATTCTCTGAAAGATATTCAAGTAGAAAACAGACATACTTTGGCATCTCTGGACATTGTAAACTTGTATACAAATGTTCCAATACATGAAACGTTAGAAATAACTAAAGAAAACTTGTTAGAAAACTCCCAACTTAGCACTGACGCCATTGATGAGATAATAAATCTACTCAAAACAACTCTAGAACAAAATTACTTCAGTTTTAATGAAAAATATTATCTTCAAGAAGCAGGACTAGCTATGGGTTCACCTTTGTCCAGTGTGCTCTCCGAAATTTACCTAAATCGTTTTGAAAATGAAAACATTCTCTCCGCCAGCAACAAATTTTCTAAGAAAATCATATTTTATAAACGATATGTTGATGACACCCTTTTGCTTTTTAACGGAAACTCCAGACAGCTACAACTTCTCAATAATCATTTGAACAACATTTCACATCAAATAAAATTCACACTCGAGATCGAGAATAATAATTCGATTAACTTTCTGGATCTAACTTTGACCAAAAATAATAATAGTATTGACTACAACAACGAATATGAAATATTAAAATGTATAGCAGTCAATAACGGATACAATAGCACTATTATCGACAATATTATACACAAACAAAAGAACAGAAAACCACTACAGAAAACCGATCAAAACTTTATTTCTATAGAATATGGCAACTGCTTACATTATACCTTAAAAAATGAACTAAAGAAACATAACATTACATTGGCCTCTAAAACTTCAAATAAACTAGAAAGCCGCCTAAATCCACGTACTTCGAAATCTACAGTTTCCAATAGCCTAGAGGACACTGGAGTGTACAAATTAACCTGCAGCGACTGTCCAAAAATGTATATCGGACAAACAGGTCGTTCATTAAAAAAAAAAAGGTTTAATGAACATCTACCCAAGCCTAAACTGCGAACACAACATTCTAAGTTCGCTGAACACCTGATGAATGAAAACCACAACGTAAGCAGCTGTAGTGATAACCTGGGTATTTTACATAAATGCACCAAAGGCTCCTTAATGAATGTCCTTGAAAGCTATGAAATCTACAAAGCAACAAAAAGGTTTCCCCACGACATCCTGAATGAAAAGCTAAATTTTGGTCGTAACACAATATTTGATAGGATTGAGGACATTGATAACAAAGGCGCTCATAATCAGCTGTCCAACCCCCTCCAAGGTCAATGTCACCAGACCAGTGGCTGTCGGTAGTTGAGTCGTGTCTGTCGTGCGTGTAATGGCCGGCCGCGCGTCTTTCTGTATCTTAATGTATTTGTGCGTGTTAAATGTTATATTTGTGTACTTTGACGACGACATTATGTTCAAGTAATTTTATGTTTGACAAGGCTTGAAAATGAAAAGTCAGTTTCGGAACTAGTCGCTGCTAAAAAGACTAACCTAGGATTGACGACGTAAAGGTACGTAACCTATTTTATATTGTCCTAATCAATCCTGGAGGCAATGCTGAATAAAATATATTCTACATCTTATTTGTTTTTTTAATTAAATAAAACAGTTTTCAGTATAAAATTACAACTAGGCTAATTGTTTTATTACAATTTAAATCCCCTGTGCCAACATTGTAGGCTTTCAGTGAAAACAATTCCGAGTTGCCGGGAGCGCGCGCCATGATAAATGCCGAGGGGGCAAAAGCCTTGGACTTGGCCAGTACAGCTGGCCGTTGGACCGTCGGAACTGAGTTAGTACGGATAGAACTCCAACTGCCTGTCTACTGCGTTGAGACCACTCCTACTGGCCTTCCGATCGCAAAGGGTTAAGGATTTTATTTCATATTATAACCCTCCCACACTCCTCAGGAATACTCACTCAGGGAAGGGGAACCAAGGCTCAAAGTGGTCTCCCTGTGACATCTCAAGAGACAGTTTTCTTGCCTCACACTCCCAGATGAGATCCACTTCCTGAGTCGGAGGTTGCGGCTGGAGCCCATAGTTTTCAACACTGAAGTCTCCAAGCATTGCCTGCAAATAACTTTTCATCAACCTATAGCTCCCCTACTGGTCCAAGGAATACCCAACATGATTCCCTCATCAACCTATTCCTGGTAAAGGCCAAAAGTGATGGACCTAGACGCTACACTAAGCACCCTTAAAGTGCTTGTATTCTATTGTATGGCAAATCACACCGATGATTCATCTAACATTTAAGCACATTTTCCATTTTGTTAATACTTTTACCTACAAACGTTTTCAAACTAGCATTTTCAATTTAATTTTTAGAATCAAAACAATTTTTACCACATTGTTTACTTACTTTACAGCACTAGTGTAGTAAAGTACAGACCAATGGGGTTCAAGAATTGAGAGAAAAGAAGTAAAATTGTTATGATTCAAACACAAATTTATCAGCTGGTAACAACCAATTTAATAGTTGATCTGCATACTTCTGATGGAAACTCACATATGAGTGAAAATTTAAAAACGTACGTTTTCATGTCCCTGGCCTTTTACTTCGTAGATACTGGATTTGTAGTTTATTATTATGTGTTTTAATATTTTTTGGGACGGGGGCAACATGTTACACACATTTATTTGGTTTTAAATAGGTTCTAGGTATTTTTTTCGTATTTTTAAAGTCTCAAAATTCACGACCATGACGTGTCCCTAGGGTACATTTTCCAACTTTCACGCTGTTTTTAGACTAATTATTCATGCCGAAATATATAAAGCCATATTTTTATGTCATCAATGGTTATTAAACTTACAAAAAAGGAGCATATTATAATTTTATTGTCATTGCAAACTGACTACCATGACAAAATAAGTCTGTCCCTCGATTTGGCGTCACGACCATTTGGGAAAAATTTTCAACTTTGGAGCCCGACAGTGGCAAGCCTGGCGTCGATGGAGTCAGTTGGTTTGAGAGACTAGTTCGGGGTGTACGTCAGGATTGTAGTGCCGGTCGTTTCGAGTTGAAAGGAGGAATTACAAGATTAATAAAGGAAAGATTGTGTTTTTTGTAATTTTGGTGTGTCCATGACCGTACGTAGTCATTCGATGAAGTAGACATGGTGTTAATTTTTGTTTATAAGATATTTCAATTGCTAGATTAACCTAGAAGTCCACTTTGTATCCTCGGACATGAGGTGCAGGGCTACCGCCAGAACAGAGCCAAATAACACGTAATTTCACGACCAAAGTTTCACTACCATCGCGGGTTTTTTCACGACCAATCCAGCCTTATGGATTAAAGTGTGTTTGGTCGTGACAATAACTTTAATATAATTGTGAATTGAACAGTTTAGTTCAATTGAAACACATATTTTTATTATAACTAACAGTATAATTGAAGGATTGCCTAGAAAGATTTAAATTATTCCAGACAATTCACGACCGTACCGCTTGTCCCTGACCATCACGTTTATGATTTCTATCATAACAATTTCAAAAATTAAAATATCGTCATATTTCAATGTTTTATACACAAAAGAAGCACACCTCTATACAAACATAACGATTTTTTGGGTCTCAGGTAAGTTTTTTCGTAGTTATACAAACTTAAAAAGATTTTATTGGCTTTTTTTCAATTTTTTGAGTTTTTTTTATTTTTTCTGGAAAGACCAAATATACTAAAAGCTTAGTGACCTTTTTATTGTATAATGGTCATAAAAGTAAATTAGTTTATAGCAAAACATAGTTATAAAAATAATATTAACCATTTTTAATATTCATTTAAACGTCCGTTATGGTCGTGACAGGATTTTGTGTTTTTCCACTAAAGATGCTCTTTTAAAAAATAACTACCAAAGATATTGCGTTGCCATGGACATTTTATGAAACTTCAAATGTTAATTAAAAAAAAAATAATAATAAAAGTTTTGAAAAAAGGGGGAAAAAATTTGCAAAGTGCTTTTCCTGAAAATGTACGTTTTTAAATTTTCACTCATATTCTTTCCTTTAACCTAAAAATTGAACTATACGATATGCTAAACAACAGTTGAAGGATTGTTTATTGCCAGATTCTGAAAATTTCAGATTGTTCTAGTGGAGTAGACAACTAGAATTAAGAGCTCAGAGTGTTTGTAATAATATTTTACCACCTAAATCTGTTAGCATATGTTTTATTTACATTTTATTTCTAACATGTGTTCAAATTATTATTTTGTTTACTTATTGAATTGTTATGTTTACTTACAGAGTGTGATTTAATAAAAACTTACCTTCTATTTTCTTATACAAAATGTGAACTTTTATTACTAAAATTAGTGGAATCAACAATGGCGACGAGTAAAATGGTAAGTAGAAAAGAATTTGACTTATGTCTAAAGAAAAGGAAATTACTAGAACTACGCTTGATCAAACTCAAGGATGATTTACCAACATGTGAACATTCTCAAGATACATGCACTTACTACACAGATAAACTTTTAGCAATATGGGCTGAAATTGAGGTTACACAGTCAAATATTGAACTTCACACAAATTCAGTAGAAAGTGAATTAGAAATTCGATGGCAGTTAGAAGAAATATATAGAGAGATACGGACATTCCTTGAAGCAGAAAAGAAAAAGTACGATACACATACAGCAATTTCTGCTTCTGCAACATGTCAAAATGTATATAATATTCCTTTCCAGCCGTATACACCAGAGGAAAGTTTTCAAAACTTCACTCGACGCTTTGAAAACTACACAAAATTACGGGGAAACCTAAGTCCAAGAGTCAAAGTGGATTTATTTTTACAGGCAATCACCCCACAAATACATGAACAGCTATACGATCTTTGCATACCAGATGACCCACACAACAAGCCATATGAGGAATTGATTCACATGTTAATGGCTCAACTAGAACCAAAACCCAGTATTTGGGCACGTCAGCACAAATTTACGACACGTACCCAATTGTGTAATGAATCTGTACAAGCTTACGCTAATGCTCTTAGAAAACTCAGTGTAGAATGTCAGTTTACTTGTACAAGTTGTAATGAATCTGTATCTGAAATTCTACTTCGAATGCAGTTTGTCAGGGGATTAAAAGACTCTGATATACGTCTTCAACTTCTTCAAGATAAACTATTGCAACCGTTTAAAGAAGTAGTCGAAAAGGCTGCTACATTGGAACTAGCGAAAAGTGAAAGCAGAATAGTAAAGACAAATGAAAATCAAGAGGAAGTACACCAAGTATCAAGCAAGAACAAACAGCCAGATAGGAAACCTTGTAAATCTAACAATATACAACTCTCTGAGTATCAAACTCGTCTGGAGAAACTGAGAAACAAAATGCTATAGATGTGGTGATGATTCACATAGAGCACATCAATGCAAGTTCAAAAATGCAGAATGTAACTCTTGTAAACGTTTTGGTCACTTAGCAAGAGTATGTCTAAGAAAACCAAACAAAGAAGTAAAACAATCAGATGAAACCGCAGAAAATACAAGCGATGATGACACTCATGAAATTTACCAACTTCATTCAAAATCAAATGACAAGTTTATGCTCGAGGTAAAAGTGGAAGGACGACTCATGACAATGGAGTTAGATACAGGAGCGGCTCTCAGCATTGTATCATATGATACATTTAAGCTTTTAAACTCTCCAAAAAGGATTTTCAAGACAAATGTTCAACTCAAGACATACACTGGGGAAATAATCAATCCAAGACAAGTTGTTTTTGTAAATGTTCAGTATAAAGATCAAAGTTTTGTTGGAAAACTGTACATTGTTAACAAGTGTGTAGACTCTATATTCGGAAGAGAATGGATAAGAGAGATTCAACTTGATGCAGCTGACATACATTCATTAAATTCAAGTGAAAACGAAAACATCCAAGAACTAGATGATTTGATGATTCGATACGAAGACATTTTAAAAGAAGGCATTGGGAAAATACCAAAAGAAAAGGGTCATTTTAATGTAAAAGACGAAACCCAGCCAATTTACATCAAACCTAGACACATGCCATATGCATTAAAAGAAAAAGTAGAGAAGGAACTTGAAAGACTGGAGACTTTGGGTATAATCACACGTGTCGAATCATCCGATTGGGGCACACCCATTGTGCCGGTTGTCAAACCCAATGGTTCAGTCAGAATATGTGCTGACTACAAGGTGTCTTTGAAAAAAGTTATTAAAGACGAACATTACCCTATACCTCGGATTGATGATATCATGTCAAAGATGCATTGTGGAAAGATATTTTGTACTCTTGATATCAGTAACGCATACTTGCACATGGAGATGGACGAAGACAGTGCCATCATGCAAACAATCAGTACTCACAAAGGGCTGTTTAAAGTGAACAGATTAATGTTTGGAGTAAAAGTGGCACCCTTGTTATGGCAAAGATTCATGGACAAAACATTACATAACTTAGAAGGCGTACAATGTTTCTTTGACGACGTAATTGTCCAAGGATCTAACAGGGAACAGCTTCTTCGCCGACTGGAACAGGTGTTTGAACGATTGAAGTTAAATGATTTGAGGTTAAATAGAGAGAAGTGTAAGTTTTTCCAGAACAAAATTGAGTACTTAGGTCATGTGATCGATAGCAAAGGACTACACAAGTCAGATGCTAAAATACAGAGCATTTTAAAATGTAAAAGACCAGAGAACGTAACTGAACTCCGAACTTTCCTAGGCCTTGCGAATTATTACAAAAAATTCATAAAGAATTTGGCTACACTGCTACATCCTTTGAATCGGCTGCTACGAAAAGGAAACACTTTTACATGGAGCTCTGCTTGTGAACAGAGTTTTCTGAAGATTAAAGAAATTATTACAAGTGATGACGTGTTGGTACACTTTGATCCTAGCTTGCCACTGGTCTTAGCTACTGATGCTTCGCCGGTAGGTGTAGGAATGCGTTCTTTCGCACCGCTATAGGAATGGAACGGACAGGCCAATTGCCTTCGCCTCTCGATCTTTATCAAAATCAGAACAAAAATACTCTCAAATCGATAAGGAAGCCTTGGGAATATATTGGGGCCTGAAAAAGTTTTTCCCGTTTTGTTATGGCCGCA